TTGGGTCCAGGGTCGGGGCCGGACCAGGGGCCGGGGACGACGACGAACGAACGAAAATAAAGAGGTCCGAGCTCTAGAGCACAGCTGTGCAAGAGAATAAAGTGGTCGGGGCGAAGGGGGCGGCGCGCTGGGCTGCTGGGGAGAGGGGGATGGGGGGGGGGGGGCGACGACGACGCCGAAATAAAGTGGTCGGGGCGGAGAGGGCGGTGCGCTGGGCTGCTGGGGAAAAGGACCGGGGGGGGCGACGACGACGCCGAAATTATGTCGGGGCAGAGGGGGCAGCGCGATGGGCTGCTGAGGAGAGGGGGAGGGGGGGGGGCGACGACGACGCCGAAATAAAGTCGTCGGGGCGGAGGGGGCGGTGCGCTGGGGTGCTGGGGAGCGACACATAGCGACGCATCTCGACACAACGCCGAAATAAAGTGTTCGGGGCGGAGGGGGCAGCGCGCTGGGCTCGACGACGCCGAAATAAAGTCGTCGGGGCGGAGGGGGCGGTGCGCTGGGGTGCTGGGGGGCGACGCATAGCGACGCATGTCGACACAAATCGACATATAGAGACATATATCGACACACGCACATATCGACGCATAGCGACACACAGCGACACATAGCGACGCACACATGGAGACGCATAGCGACACACAGCGACTCATATAGCGGCACATGAAGGGCACAAGGCACACAGCGACACATATAGCGGCACATGAAGGGCACAAGGCAGCTGGGGGGGAGCGACGACGACGCCGAAATAAAGTGGTCGGATCTCTAGACACCCATTGCAAGAAAATAAATTTTGTTCCCACAGCAGCTCAGCTCTCTAGAGCCAGTTGTACTATCGGAAAATTAGGAGGAACCGAGATCACGTTGGCGCCGAAAAATGCAAATTCGACGTTTTTCTTGAAATGCTCCGAGAAGCTGTTTGCTTTCAATCTGAGCTCTCTTACGCGTGGCAGGAGCTCTACGAGGTTCCCGGCGGTGACCAGGTTGACGGTTTACTGCCGGCGCCATTGGTCGACCCAGCCCGGACGGACAATGTGATAACTTTGGATCGGTTTTGCTAAGATTTGAAAGATATTTGACAATTCATTTTGAGAAAGCAGATTTTTACGTCGAGCATTGATATATAAATTTTCTCCGCCCTGCAGCTCAGATCTCTAGAGTCAGTTTTACTATCGGAAAGGAGGAACGAACATCCCGTTGACACCGATAATGCAAATTCGACGTTTTTTCTAGAAATGCTCCGAGAAGCTGTCTGCTTTCAATCTGAGCACTCTTACGCGTGGAAGGAGCTCTACGAGGTTCCCGGCACCTCGTGGAGCTCTTCGTCATCGATGAGCTAAAGGAATTCCGGCGCGGGGTGAAGCTAGTTGGCCGACCCGACCAAAAGAGACAATGTGGTAACTTTTTGGCTGGTTTTGCTAAAATATGAAAGATATTTGACCATTCATTTGGAGCGCAGATTTTGCACCTGTAGTGGGTTATGCCGCGTCTGCCAGTCAAATTCTCAGGTCCGTAGGTGCAGTATTACTATCAAAACACTTGGAGGAACCGGCGTTGGATAAACGCAGAAAAACGTGACTTTTCGAGTTTTTCGTATCTCGCTCCAGAAGCTTTCTTCATGTGTTTTGATGACCGCCGTGCAAGAAAAGAGCTCTACGAGGTTCCCGGCGGTAACCAGGTTGACGGTTTACCGCTGGTTCCCAGTGCCTCGTAGAGCTCTTCGGCATCGATGAGCTAGAGGAATTCCGGCGCGGGGTGGAGCTAGTTGGTCGACCCGGTCAGAACGGACAAAGTGATAACTTTGGGTCGGTGTTGCAAAAAATTGAAAGATATTTGACCATTTATTTTGAGAAAGCAGATTTTTATGCCGAGCGTTGGCATATAAACTTCTCTCTGACAGCAGCTGAGCTCTCTCGATGCATTTTATTAAGAGTTAGTTTCCGGGAACCAAGCCAATATAAACATCGAGCAAATCGAAAATCAAGATTTTAGGAAAATCTTTAAAATATGATTCTACTTCGATCGTGACACTCTGACCAGTGTATGGAGCTCCACGAGGTTCCCGGCGGTGACGAGGTTGACGGTTCACCGCCGGCGCCAGTACCTCGTAGAGCTCTTCGTCACCGATGAGCCAGAGGAATTCGGCGCAGGGTGGAGCTAGTAATTCGTAGAGCTTCCCTAAGCTAGTACCTCGTAGAGCTCTTCGGCATCGATGAGCTAGTGGAATTCCGGCGCGGGGTGGAGCTAGTTGGCCGACCTACGAAGAGAGGCAATGTGGCAACTTTGGGTTGGTTTTGCTTTGATTTGAAAGATATTTGACCATTCATTTTGAGAGCAGATTTTTCGCACCTGTAGTGGGTTATGCCGCGCCTGCCAGTCAAATTCTCAGGTCCGCAGGTGGAGTACTACTGTCAAAACACTTGGAGGAACCGATTTGGGATGAAAGCCGAAAAATCGTGATTTTTAGAATTTTTCGGCTCTCGCTTCAGAAGCCTCCTTCATGTTTCCCGAGGAGCGCTGTGCAAGAAAAGAGCTCTACGAGGTGCCCGGCGGTAACCTGATTGACGGTTTACGGCCGGTTCCCAGTTGCTTGAAGCTTCAGAGTAATACTTCGTCGAGCTCTTCGCCAGTGATGAGCTAGAGGAATTCCGGCGCGGGGTGCACCTCGTAGAGCTTTTCGGCAAGATGAGCTAAGAGAAATTCGGGCGCAGGGTCGAGCTAGTGCCTCGTAGAGCTCTTCGGCAACGAGGAGCTAGAGGAATTCCGGCGCGGGAGGAGCTAGTTGGTCGACCCGACAGAAGAGACAAAGTGGTGACTTTGGGTCGGTTCTCCTAAGATTTGAAAAATATGTGACAATTCATTTTGAGAAAGCAGACTTTGGCAGACGCGACCTTAAGAGACAATGTGGTGACCTGAGGTCGGTTTTGCTAAGATTTGAAATATATTTGACCATTCATTTTAAGAAAGCAGACTTTTTGCACCTCTAGTGGGTTATGCCACGTCTCTAGCTGCAATATTACGATCAAAACACTTGGAGGAAACGACTCTGCTCGGAGCCATCTTGGCACGCGTTGACGGTTTCCTGTACTTAACTCGAGATTTAGGAGAGCTACAGCGCTAATACTTACAGAGAGCGATCAAGAATCATCAGGCGCCTTCGTCAATTCCATCCAGAGGTCTGAACTTGGTCTGCTGCTCGAGCTAGGTCCGCAAAACTATTCGTATTCTTGGAGTCATTTTGACAAGTGCTTCGATCTTCTGTACTTAACTCATCAGAATAGCTACAGAGCCGGTATGCACATAAGCGGATCCAGTATCATCAGGCGCGTTCGTCTGTTGCATCGAGCGGTCTGTATTCGGTCTGCTACTCGAGCTAGGTCCGCAAAACTATTCGTATTCTTCAAGTTCTTTTTACAGGCGCTGTCGGTCTTCTGTACCTCAAGCTGTAGCAGAGTTACAGAGCTGATACGCACAGAAAGCGATCCAGGATCATCAGGGGCGTTCGGCTGGAGCATCTAGAGCTCTGAACACAGTCTGCTACTCGAGCTAGGTCCGCAAAGCTATTCGTATGCGACCGTTTTTTTTTCGAACTAATGGTCATATTTTCACTTAACTCGAGCTGCAGATGAGCTTGAGAGCTCTTCCGCACGAGCATCTTGCTTTCTTAATGTTTTCCGGGCAGCGCCGCGCGAGAAAAGAGCTCCACGAGGCTCCCGGCGGTAACCTGGTTGACGGTTTACCGCCGGCTCCCATTTTATATGAGAAACCAGATTTTTCGCACCTGTAGTGGGTTGTGACGCGTGCGCCTGTGAAATTACCAGCCCGCAGGTGTAGTATTACTACCAAAAGTCTTGGAGCAACCGACGTTGGATAAAAACAGAAAAAGGTGATTTTCCGACATTCTCTGCTCTCGCCTCAGAAGCTTCCTTGATGTGCGCCGTGCAAGAAAATAGCTCTACGAGGTCTCTGGCGGTAACCAGGTTGACGGTTTACCGCCGGTTCCCAGTATCTCGTAGAGCTCTCGGGCATCGATGAGCTAGAGGAATTCCGGCGCGTGGTGCAGCTAGTACCTCGTAGAGCTCTTCGGCATCGATGAGCTAGAGGAATTCCGGCGCGGGAGGAGCTAGTTGGTCGACCCGGCCCGGGCGGACAATGTGGTGACTTTGGGTGGGTTTTGCTGAGAATTGAAAGATATTGGACAATTCATTTTGAGAAAGCAGATTTTTCGCACCTGTAGTGGGTTATGCCGCGTCTGCCAGTCAAATTCTTAAGTCTCTAGCTTCAATATTACTATCAAAACACTTGGAGGAACCGATATTGGATGAAAACCGAAAAAAACGTGATTTTTCGAGTTTTTCGGCTCTCGCTTCAGAAGCCTCCCTCATGTGTTTAGAGGAGCGCTGTGCAAGAAAAGAGCTCTACGAGGTGCCCGGCGGTAACCTGGTTGACGGTTTACCGCCGGTTCCCAGTTGACCCAGCCGGCCCGGGCGGACAATGTGTGAACTTTGGGGCGCTTGGCCAAACTTTCTGAGAGATTTGAACATTCGTTTTAAGAATCGGTATGTTTCGTTATGCTGCGCTCGCCAGTGAAATTCTCAGGTCCGTAGCTGCAGTATTACTATCAAAACATTTGAAGCAACCGACTTTCGGTGAAAACTGAAAAAAAGTTTTTTTTTTGTTTATATATAAAAAGTTCTCAGCTTCACCATGTTCCGAGCAGCGCCGTGCAGACAAGATCTCTACGAGGCTCCCGGCAGTAACTTGGTTGACGGTTTACCGCCGGCTCCCAGTTCACCGACCCGGCCCGGACGGACAATGTGGGAACTTTGAGTCGGTTGGCCGAAGATTGTCAGAGATTTGAACATTCGTTTTGAGAACCCGTATTTTTCGCACCCGTAGTGGGTTATGCCGCGTCTGCCAGTCAAATTTTCAGGTCTGTAGCTGCAGTATTACTATCAAAACACTTGAGGGAACTGATTTCGGAAGAAAACAGGAAACACGTGATTTTTCCGAGTTATTCTGCTTACGCTTGAGAAACTGTCCTTCATGTGTTCTGAGCCAGCGCCGAGCGAGAAAAGAGCTCTACGAGGTTCCCGGCGGTGACCTCAGGCTGCCCCCTGGGCGGCCGTGTGCGCGCGGGCGGGCCGTGCGATGGCGGCTTGAGCACCTCTTGTCTCTGCAGTGGGTGGAGTCAGATTTGTTGTGTGAGTACCCCTTGCTGTGTGGTGCCATGACAACGCAATTTTGTACCTCGTCGACTTCTACTTTGTATGCCATGTCCTATCCCGTTTCTTCTTTCCCATCCTCGTCGTGGCGGCGGAGAGCGAGAAGGCTGAGACTCGCCATGTTTCGACAGGCCCTCTTTGACATCCATACTCTGCAGTGCGTTCCAGTGGGGGCGCAGTCTCCAGAGGTGGTGCAGTCTCCAGCCGTGGTGCAATCTCCAGAGATCCGTGTGCTAGAGGCTCTGGGTGTGATGACTGAGTCATTCGACGGAGTCGCTAAACCCGATGGGCCAACTGATCGTGGGAAAGCTTTCTCGTCTTATTATGTTGCTTATTCTCCAGATGCGGTGCAGTCCCTTGATGGTGTGCTGGGTTCTGTTTCTTTTCTTCCTGGTGTTCAGAATGAGGAGCTGCAGGACGAGGTGTTGCAGAATGAGGATTTGCAGAGTGAGGAGGTGCTGAATGAGCAGTTGCATTATTCTCATCATAAAGATTCTGTTGATCCAGGTGTTCTGAAAGAGGAGTTGCATGATGAGGAGTTGCAGGGTGAGGCGTTGCAGAATGAGGAGTTGCGGAATGAGCAGTTGCATTGTTCTCATCATAAAGATTCTGTTGATCCAGGTGTTCTGAAAGAGGAGTTGCATGATGAGGAGTTGCAGGGTGAGGAGTTGCAGAATGAGGAGTTGCGGAATGAGCAGTTGCATTATTCTCATCATAAGGATTCTATGGCTTCACACCCTGGGAGTTCCACGACTGGGAGATTATCTAATGCAGTTGTGAGTTCAGCAGTGACGGAGGACGAGTGTCAAGCTGCCAGGGACTGGGCCTTGCCGGTGTCGATGTCAGCGCCCTTTGGCGTGAGCTACACCGACTCCCGAGACAGGAGTTTCAGCGTAGGACTGAGGCTCTTCATGCATACAGGCTGCAAATGGGAATTGAAAGTTCCGAGGAGGATGATTTGCAACAAGGGGGTCCTCAGAGTTCTACTTCCAGGAGTGCATTGACGCGGAGCGGCAAGAAGGATCGGAAACGGCACAGATGATGCACATGTGATTGATCCTGCACGTATGTTTTTGACATTGCGTTGCCTTTCTTCATGCCTGTGTGTGTTGTCGTGCATGCGCGTGTGTTGAATAAGAGCTTCGCCTGATCCCTTAGGTCATTCGTTGCTTCCTTGATTTGAGTGCTCATTGACCTTTGAACGTGACTTTCCGTGATTTGTCACGTGGTGCCTCAAAGTAGGCCTTTGATCTGGTCGACACCAGGTTTCACTTAGACATGGTTTCACACGTCCAGGTTTCATTTAGGCATGGTGTCAAAGCACACTCGCTATCTCAGTTCTCTTAGTTTCGTGTTCTTTCTCAGTGGTGTTGAGACGGTAATCGCTGTATAAACCAGTGGTTACTGTATGGTCTCTCGCTGCTTCTTGTTGTCTTGTACAGCTTCTTTGATCATCTTTGTCGTTTTGCATTCTAGTGTATTGGCAGTCTTGTGCATATCTGTACAGCTTCGCTGTTTGATGCACCTCTGCTTTAATCTTTGCAGCTTCGCTGTCTTCCTGTACAGCTTCGCTGGTTAGGTTCTTTGTGTTTAGGCCTGCTCCCATGGGAGCTCGAACCGGCCTTCGCAAAAGACGCAAAAACCTGGTTGACGGTTTACCGCCGGCTCCCAGTTCCGGGGCGCTGGAGAGCTAGTTGGCAAGAAAAATCTCGACGGACCTTTTGGTGACTTTTGGTCGGTTGAAAATTTTGTTCTCGAAATTTGACAATTCGTTTGAACTCTATTTTTTTCCCCGTGATATTCGATCTTATTCCCGCTCGCCGTCTTGATCTCAGCTCGATCGGGTACCTTTTACTGCCAAAAAGCACTCCGGCGGGATCGGCCGTTTCGAGTCATCTCGACAGGCGTTGTCGTTTTTTTGTACTTAACTCGAGATTTAGGAAAGCTCCAGAGCTGATAGTCACAGAAACCGATTCAGTATCATCAGACGCGTTCGTCTATTGAATCGAGAGGTCTGAACTCGGTCTGCTACTCGAGCTAGGTCCGCAAAACTGTTCGTATTCTTCGAGTCATCTCGACAGGCGTTGTCGTTTTTTTGTACTTAACTCGAGATTTAGGAAAGCTCCAGAGCTGATAGTCACAGAAACCGATTCAGAATCATCAGACGCGTTCGTCTGTTGAATCGAGAGGTTTGAACTCGGTCTGCTACTCGAGCTAGGTCCGCGAAACTATTCGTATTATTCGAGTCATCTCGACAGGTGCTGTCGGTTTTTTGTACTGAACTCGGGCTGTAGGAACACTACAGAGCTGATACTTACAGAAGCCGATTCAGATTCATCAGGCGCGTGCGTCTGTTGTATCGAGAGGTCTGAACTCGGTCTGCTACTCGAGCTAGGTCCGCAAAACTGTTCGTATTCTTCGAGTCATCTTGACAGGTGCTGTCGGTTTTCTGTTCTCAATTCGAGCTGTATGACAATTACAGAGCTGGTACGCACAGAATCCGATTCAGAATCATCAGGCGCGTTTGTCGGTTGCATCGAGAGGTCTGCACTTGGTCTGTTACTCGAAGTAGGCCTGTAAACCCATTCGTATTCGACCGATTCTTTTTCGAAATGATGTTGAATTTCTTTACTTAACTCGAGCTGCAGATGAACTTGAGAATTCTTCCGCACGTAAATCAAAATGAATCATGAGGCGCGCTAGTCTAGAGCATCTAGACGCTTGGCCTTGGGTCTGCTATAAGCGCAGACGCCAAAGAAAGAGTCATAATATTTTGTGTTCCTTGTGGAATTCGTTTTCTGGACTGAACTCGAGGTGCAGATGAGCTTGAGAGCTCGTGGACATTCGGGAAGATATCATCATGCGCGCCATTCGAAAGTATCGGGACACCCGCGCTCAGTTTGCTATTAGCGCTAGGGCCGAACACCGATTCGCGCTCTGCTACTTTCTTGGAAATGGTACTGTTTCCTTTGATTTACTCGTGCTGCAGATGAGCTGCAAAGCTGTTCAGCACAGCAATGGGAAGGGAATCATCAGGGGCAATAGCGAAATGTATCTAGACGTCTGAGATCAGTCCGCTACCAGCGCTCGGGCTGGAAAAATATTCGTTCTCTGCTAACTCTTTGGCCATAATATATGGCAAGGAAGCTCTACGAGTCTCCCGGCGGTAAGAAAGGTTGACGGTTTACCGCCGGCGCCCAGTTGGTCGACCCGACCAGACAAGAATATGTGACGACTTTGGGTCGGTTGTGCTAAGATTCGTAAGATATTCAACCGTTCATTTTGAGAAAGCAGATTTTTCGCACCTGTAGTGGGTTATGACGCATGCGCCCGTGAAATTTTCAGTCCCTAGGCCCAGTATTACTACCAAAACAATTGGAGCAACCGACGTTGGATAAACACAGAAAAACGTGTTTTTTCGAGTATTTCGGGTCTCGCTCCAGAAGCTCCCTTCACGTGTTCCGAGGAGCGTCGTGCAAGAAAATAGCTCTACGAGGTCCCCGGCTCAAGCTCTCAAGGCTCAAGGCTCCGCGAACGTTCATTTTCTCCTGCCTGGGGAACCTCCGCGAAGGTGAACGTTGAGCTAGTGTGTTGTTTTGTTCTGCTTACGCAACTGCCCATCTCCCTGTGCATCTTGCTTGTCATTGTTTGCCTCTCATATTCATTTCTCGTTGCGGTTTGGTGGTGGCAATTTGTCTACGCGGACTTGTTCCTCACTGCCTAGAGTGGTGCTCGTAATGCATCTTGCTTGTCATTGTCTGCCTCTCATACTCGTTTCTCGTTGCGGTTTGGTGGTGGCAATTTGTATACGCGGACTTGTTCCTCACTGCCTAGAGTGGTGCTCGTAAGTCTCGTTTCTTCCAGATCTGCTTTGAGTGGATTGCATATTGATCTCTTTCGAGTGCGGGTAGCACATTGAATTCATTGTGTGACAGTTGTATTTGTTGCTTCCTCTATTCTCTTTGCTTCGTCGCCACATTTCTGACAGAATTCGACTTTGATTTTGACTGATGCCTCGCGTGCGGAGCCTCACATCCAGGCGTATGCGTCGTGCTCGGGCCTGCCATCTGAGATGGGTCCGATCAGCATCACCATTCTCTTACATTCTTTGGTTTGTGCATGTTGTTTCTTTGATGGAAATATCGTGACACGGTCGGTTGTCGCATCATCGATGTGTCTCTGAGGTTTCGACATGCTTCGGACTTTGTGTTTGCATTGACTCTTGCCATGCTGTGTGTGTGTGTCGGGCATGCGCGCATGTTGGTACAAGAGCTCCGCGTGCTTTTCAGTTTGTTCGGAATCAGAGTTTCGCATGTGCCCACTTTCGCTCAAAGAGTGGTGGGTGTCTTGCCTGACTCTGTATGCCGCCCTTTTTCCTGCTAGCGACTGGGCCTGACGGCCCGCATAGTCGATCGCAAAGACCGCAAAAACCGGGTTGACGGTTTACCGCCGGTTCCCAGTAACTCGTAGGGCTTCCCTCAGCTAGTTGCTGGAAGCTCAGGGGTAACTCCCGGAGAGCTCTCTGAGAGCCACAGGGTTTCAGGTTACAAGCCAGACGGTGGTGGTGCCCGCCAGCAGCCCATGTTCGCCGCTCCAGAATTCCCGCAGAAGGTTGTGTGTCCCGGCAGCGGGTCCGGGAGCGCTTCTGGCACGCGACCACGCGTGCCTGCACGCGTGCGGGCACGCTTGGAAGCGTGCCTGGCAGCGCTTCAGAAATTTTCAGGGGAGCTTCCGAGAACTCGGCAGGAAAGCATTCCGGTGTGAGCTTCTCTTTCCCGGACGGCCTCGTGGGCTAGATAGGGTTGTCAGAAGAGAAGCCGGGGGGTGCGCGTGCGTCGCCGCATTCCTGCGCTCGCCGCCCCGCGATCCCTTCTGTGACTCCCCGTGGCCCGCAGCGTGTCCCGGAACGCCTGTTCCAATGCGTGCCTCGTAGAGCTCTGATGGTAACAGAGCTAGAGGAATTCGGCGACAGGGTGAAGCTAGTTGACGAAACTTCGAGAAGGGACGCGATTATACCTTCCGCGGCCTGGCTCAGCCGATTTTGCAGTTTTAACCATTCGTTTGGGCTGCTAATTGTGCAGAGCGAAGCTTTGCATTGCAGAAGTTGCCTCTCAAGTTCTTAGCTCTTTCCGTCGACAAATTCTCCCGAGCGAAGCCAGGGGCCTCGCCTCATATTGACATGAAAAATTCAAAATTGAAGATTGAGGACAATCTACTGTGAGGTTCTCTGCGTCGATTCTGGCTTCTCTCACGTGTGCAAGTAGCTCTGCGAGGTTCCCGGCGGTGAGCAGGTTGACGGTTCACCGCCGGCGCCAGTTCCAGTCAAACGTGCTCTAGAGGCCTCGCGAAGTACCCCAGACAGCGCGCCCACCATGCGTACAGGCACGCGTGGAAGCGTCGCCCTCAGCCCTTCAGGAACGCAGTCATTGAGTCAGAGGCGTCGCAGGGGCGCTGTCCCGTCACCGTCGAGCTCGGCCGCGCGCGGTTTCCAGCGCTTCTACACACATTTAACGCGTGCGTGGGGCGGCCCAACACGCATTCGCGGCGTGCAGAGCGGCTGGCTAGAAAGCTGGTATGCACACGAATAGATTCAGAATAATACCTCCTAGAGCTCTTCGTTATCGATGAGCTAGAGGAATTCCGGCGCGGGCTGGAGCTAGTACCTAATTCTTCGGCATCGATGAGCTAGAGGAATTCCGGCGCGGGGTGGAGCTAGTTGGCCGACCCGGCCAGAAATGACAATGTGGTGACTTTGGGTCGGTTTCGCTAAGATTTGAAAGATATTTGATTATTCATTTTGAGAAAGCAGATTTCTACTCCCAGCATTAGTGTCTAAGCTTCGGTCTGAGAGCAGCAGAGCTCTCTAGAGAGAGTTTTACTTTCGAAACATTTGGAGCAACCAACATCAGGTTAACACCAAAAAATGTAAATTTCACGTTTTTCTAGAAATGCTCCAAGAAGCTCTCTGCTTCGATTCTGAGCGCTCTTACGCGTGTAAGGAGCTCTGCGAGGTTCGCGGCGGTGACGGTTCACCGCCGGCGCCAGTTCGGCGGCAGGGTGGAGTTAGTTGACCGACCCGACGAGAACGGACAATGTCATGATCTGGGCTTGCTTTTGCAGAATTTGACTTGACAGCGGCTCGGCTCTGTACCTCGTAGAGCCCTTCGTCATCGATGAGCTAGAGGAATTCCGGCGCGGGATGAAGCTAGTTGGTCGACCCGACCAGAAGAGACAATGTGCAACTTTGGGTCGGTTTTGCTGTTATTTGAAAGATATTTGACCATTCATTTTGAGAAAGCAGTTTTCTACGCCGAACATTGGCATATAAATTTTGTTCGGAGAGCAGCTCAACTCTCTAGAGCTGCTTTTAGTATTAGTTCACTTCCAGGAAACGACTTGCAGTTGACACGAAAAAATGTCAATCTGATGTTTAATTAGGAATACTATGAGAAGCTCCCTGCTTCGATCCTGAGCACTGTTGCGCGTGCAAGGAGCTCTACGAGGTTCCGGCGGTGACCAGGTTGACGGTTCACCGCTGGCGCCAGTTGGCCGACCCGATCTTCGGCATCGATGAGCTAGAGGAATTCCGGCGCGGGGTGCAGCTAGTTGGCCCACCTGGCCGAGGCGGACAATGCGATGACTTAGGGTCGGTTTTGCTGAGACTTGAAAGATATTTAACAATTCATCTTGAGAAACCAGATTT